TTGCTATCCTGAAAAAGCTTCCTTATCCCAACATTCTGTCTTCTATAAGTTAACCAATCCTTAATCAATGCTTGTACAGTACCTCCAACACCATCTTATTAAGTAACCGAATATGGGAAGTTTTCCATTCTTCAGCCTGACTTCGTCCTCCCCTATCAAATGCCTTCTGAAAATCCAAATATATTACATCCAATGTTACTTCTTTATCTATCCTGCTTGTTGTTTCTTTAAAATATTCGAATAATTGTCAGGCATGATCTGATCTTCATGAAGACATGCTATTCCAACATTCTGTTTTAGGTTCAAAGGTTATTGGGAGAAAGCAGGAACAGGAGACTGAGTTGGATGAGCGGCCATGATCATATTGAATAGCAGAGCAGGCAAGGGCCGAATGGCCTACTCTATTTCCATGTAAACTTAGGAAGAAAGCATATCAGCGCACAAAGACAGGCGACAGGTCAGAAGATTGGATAGAATATAAACAACAACAAACAATGACAAAAGATTGATGAAGAGGGAAATATTACATTATGAGAGAATCCACTGTAGTGAACTTCAAACCATCTAGAAAGTACCCTGAGCTATCCTTTTTGGTCCAAGATGGCTAACCTCACATTTACTTGTATTGAAATTCATCTGCCACAGTTTTGCCTGATCACTTATTCCATCAATATCCCTCAGTAATTCTATACTATCATCTTCACTGTCCACAATGCTGCATTACTTTGCGTCATCAGCAAATTTGGATTTATGAGTTTCTATGCCATTATCCAAGTCATTAATAAATAATGTGAATAATTGAGGCCCTAACACAGGTCCTCTTGAGACACCACTGGTCACATCCTGCCAATTTGAGTACCTACCCATTATCCCTACTTTTTGTCACATGCCCTTTTCCCAGCCACGTCAGTAACTTGCCCTCAATTCAGCGGGTTTCTACCTTGGTTACTTCTCTTATGTGGGACCCTGTCAAATTCCTTCTGGAAGTCCACATAAACGACATTCTTAAACATTCCCCTGTCCACTTCGTTCCTCACTTCTTCAAAAAAATTCAATGAGGTTTGTCAGGCTTGACCTACCTGTCATGAATCCATGCTGGCTCTCCCAGATTAACTGAATACTTCCAAGCTGTTCAGTTACCCCATCCTTGATAATAGATTTCAATGACTCCCCCACGACAGGTGTTATGCTAATTGCTCTTTAATTCCCTGGTTTTGCTGTCTCACCTTTCTTAAAAAGCTGAGTGCTATGCGCAATTTTCCAATCCAGACGGATGACTCCTGTATCTAAGGAATTTTGAATAATTATACTTAGGACATCTACAATGTGCTCCCCTACTTCCTTTAACATCCTCAGATGGAAATGGTCAGGTCCCGGGGATTTGTCACTCTTTAATTCCACTAATTTCCTCATTACTGACATTTTGCTTATGTTAATTTTATTCAGTCCCTCTTTCCGATCCACTATTAACAGGACTTCTACCAAACTATCCTCCTTTACTACTGTAAATACTGAGGCAAAGTAATTATTCAGCATGCCTGCCATTTCCCCAACATCACTGTCAATATCCCCACTTTCAGTCTTTAGAGAGGCAGCATTGCTCCTGTCTACCCACTTTCCCTTGACGTAGCTATAACATTTCTTCTTATTCATTTTGACATGCCTGGCAAGTTTCCTTTCATAATCACTTTAATTGTAACTCTTATAAGCTGTTTTGTGGCCCTTTGCTGGTTCTTGTATCTTCCTTAGGATCTGTGCTACTTTTTGCATTTTTGTAAGCCCTTTCTTTTAGTTTTATGCTTTAGTTGGCCGTGGCTGTTTTTTTAAAAATTTTCTCTCTATGAAAGATGACTGCAAATCAAAAACTTTCCAAGAGTTTCTACCTAAAAAAAAAGTAGTTCACAAAGTGGGTGTTGTTCTTACGGAATGTCAGACTGGAGAATTAAAATGTGAAAAGCAAATGGTAGATGAATTGAATTGAACAGGTATTTTACATTAGTTTTCACTATAAATGGCACAAAATAACACCCCAGAAGCAGAATGGCAGGACACTAAGGAGCTCAGAGGAGCAGAGCGATCTGGGGTGTTTGTGAACATATTCTTGAAGGCAGTAGAACAGGTTAACAAGGTAGTTAAGAAGATATACAGGACACTTGCCTCAATCAGTCAAGGCATGGATTATAAGAGCAGGGAGGTCACATTGGAGCTGTGCAGAACTTTTTTTAGGCCACAGCTAGAGAACTGCGTGCAGTTCTGGTTACCACACTATAGGAAGGATGTGCTTGCACTGGAGGGGGTACAGAGGAGATTCAGCACGATGTTGCTTGGGAGGGAGCAGTTCAGCAATGAAGAAAGGCTGGATAAGCTCAGGTTGTTTTCTTTGAAGCAGAGTATACAAAAGCATATAAAATTATGAGGGACATGGACAGGGTGACTAGAAAGCAGCTGTTCCCCTTAGTTGAAGGGTCAATAGTAAGGGGGTATAATTGTAAACTGAAAAACAGAAGGTTTGGAGAGGATTTGGGAAAAACCTTTTGCACCCCGAGGGTGGTGGGTGTCTGGAATGCCCTGCCTGGGAGGGTTGAGGCTGGAAACCTCACAAGCTTTAATAAGTACATGGATGTGGACCTAGTGTTGGAAAGTGGGACTAGCATATGTAGTAGTGTAGCTTTGGCAGTACAGACTTGATGGGCCAAAGGGCCTCTTCCGTACTAAATGATTCCACAAATCGGGAAATGGAAGAGAGGGAAAAACTCAGGGGAAGAGAGGGAAAAACTCAGGAAAAGTGGGTGAGAAGTGGGCAGGGAGTGTATTGTTGACACGTGGCTCATCCCAGAGTCTGAAAGGAAGTAGCTAGTGAGATCATTGATGCATAAGATAAAATTTTCTAAAACTCATTAGATTCAGTAAAGGTTCCTTTAGATTGGAAAATAGCTAATGTCTCTCATTCAGTCAAAAAGGGAGGGATACAGAAGTTTAACATCTGTCATAGGGGAAACGTTGGAAACTATCATTAAAAATATTTTAACAACCACTAAGCGAAGTTTAGGATAATTAGGCAGAGCCAACATGGCTTTGTGAAAGGGAAATGATGTTTCTCCAATCTACTGGAGTCTTTTAAGGGAGTAAAGCTGCTGCGGATAAAGGGGAACCAGTGGATGTGCTGCATTTACATTTTCTGTCGGCATTTGTTCTGGGAGTGTAAGGGGTAACCAATTGGCACAGTTGGAAGATTGATTGGTTAATGGGAAACAGAGAGGAGGTATAAATAGGTAATTGTCTTGTCAACAAAGTGCAATCAGTGCTGTGGCCTCCACTTTTTCCTATTTCTATAAATGACTTGGACGAAGAGATTGAAGGCACAGAAGCTAAATTTATTGATGACATGAGGATAGATAGAAAAGTGAGTTGTGAAGAGGACATGAGGAGCCTACAAAGAGATATAAATAGGTTAAGTCACTGGACAAAGATCTTGCAAATGGAGTACAATAAGGGAAAGTGTGAAATTGTCCATTTTGGCAGAATGAATGAAAGAGTAATTACCTAAATAATGAGAGGCTGCGGAGCTCTGAGATGCAGAGAGATGTGGGTGAGCTGGTGCATGAATCACAGAAGGTTAGTATGCAGGTCCAGCAAGTAATCAGGAAAGCTCATGAAATATTATGTCTTAATGTGAGGGGAATTGAATACAAGTGTAGGGAGGATATGCTTCAGTTGTACAGGGCATTGGTGAGACCACATCTAGAGTACTCTGTACAGTACTGGTCACTGTATGTATGGAAGGATGTTAATACATTGGAAATAGAGAAGGTTTGCTTGACTAATACCTGGAATGGGTGGGTTGTGTTATGAGGAAGGGTTGGCAGTCTAGGCCTGTATTCTATGGAGTTTAGAAGAGTCAGGGGAGATTTGGTTGAAACATAAAAGGAATTTTGACCAGGTGAATATGGAAAGGATGTTTCCTTTTATGGGAGTTTCTGGAACTAGGGGTCACCGTTTAAAATCAGGAGTCATCCATTTAAGACAGAGAGGAAGAGAAATGTTTTGCTTTTTCTTAGAAGGTCACCAGACTTTCAATGTCCTTTCCTGAAAAGCTGATGGGTCGGACTCTTTCAATTTTTTTGAGGCAGAGGTGGATCGATTCTCAATAAGCAACTGGAGGGGCGAAAGGTTACTGGGGGGGGGGTGTAAGTGGGAAGGTGGAGTAATCAGATCAGGATCTTGTTGAATGGCAGAGCAGGATCGACGGGCCGAGTGGCCTAGTCCCCACAGAATCACAGAAGTGTTATGGTGCCAAAGGAGGCTATTTGGTCCATCATGCCTGTGCTGGCTCTTTCTTGGCTCGTCGCAATCACCTGCCCTTTCCCCATTCCATTGCTCACCGTCTCCACCTAAATGATCATCCAGTCCTAATTTATGCCTTGGTCTGTATGTTCCTAACTTCAAACTGCAGTCTGCATTGAGTTTTCACTCTCGATATTACTCGCATGCCCTTGGGTTGATCTATAAGATTGGGCTGACAGACCAACATTACCCCACATATGGATAGGAAGAGACGCACATACCTCATCAGAGGCAGTACAGAGCAAGATTCACCTCTTGGAAGGAAGGGAAGGGGAGGGCCTAGGGTGGAAATGACTGACCACTGTCAATTTCTGTATGCTCCAGTCACTGAATGGGGAAACTGGTAAACAGACCCTGGGTCACTACCCCTCTGTTAGCAGAGACAGTGGAGTCCAGGTCAGGTGGGACAGCACCCCTGGACATTTAAGACTCCATCGGGAGTCAGAGCCAGCTGGGGGAGGGGGTAGGAGAGCTGACAATGCAATGCACTGTGAACATCTTTGTAATTAAACGCCTGATTGAATCTCACCTCCCAGCTGATGGAAGCTTGTGCTGCTAATCTAGATGAGAGATCCCTCGCAATGCTGGGGCGGGGGGAGTCAGTCTGTGTACAAAAGGGGCACTGTAGCACAGACACAGCAGCCGAAGAAACTCACCAGCAGAGTTATTTCAACGCAGACCCGAGACGCTGTCGCCTGATGCAGGAAGGCATGCAGGCTCACCAGGCAGCTCCTCTTCAGTTTAACAGGATTCCGGTCGTTTCATCGCGAACGCGGCTCACAAATAATCACACAGCTGGAAGGCCAGATCCCAGAGGTGCAAAGGAAGCAGGTTCGTGGGCTACGCCTCTCTCAGGCCCCGCTTCTGTAGCAGACAGAGACTAGGCTGCAGTTCACGGCAGCACATACAGGGACCCACACACAGACCACAGCCTCCCTACACAGCATTGCATTTCTGTCACCCCCACCCCCTCAGTCAATATCTCAGCGTGCATTCATTGGCAAGCTTCGCAAAACGAGGGCATTTTAGCTTTAGCAGCCGTCAGCTCTTACTTAACCTCTGCAGTATTAACGATGCAGCACACTGTGAGCGCTGCTCACTGCAAAAAAAATTGTCTTCAAGTCCAGGCGCACACACACACTGCTGTCCCACCCTTTCTGTCAGCTGAACCACTGCATTCAATCGGAGCAATGTAATGAACAGTGGGAGTGTATTCGGCCCATCATTACCTGTGCTGGTCCTCCAAAGGAGCAATGTGCTCCGGGGAGTACATTAGCATTCTCCATCCCCTCACCCCGACTAGAGTGAACCTGCCTCCCCCTCACACTCTCAGACAGTGTATCCCAGACCCTAACCACTCCCTGAGTGAACGTGTCCCCCCCACGCTCTCAGACGGTGTATCCCAGACCCTAACCCTTTCCTGAGTGAAAAGGATTATCATTGCGTCTCTGAGGCTTCTTTTCCCACTCCCCTTCAACCTGAAACCTCTTGATCCTTCCTCCAATGGGAGCAGTTTCTCAACCCAGATCCATCCTGATTTTGAACATCTTGATCAAATCACCCCTCAACCATCTCTTCTCCAAGGAAAACCGTCCTAAATTTTCCAATCCATCCACATGCTCCTTTTCCCTCAATTCATTCTCATGAATATTTTCTGCACCCTCGTGCGCTCTCTGCAGCCTTTCACCTTATTGGTAAAGTTTGAGATTTAGAACTGGCTCCAATACTGCAGCTGCGGCCACAGCAGTTAAAGCAGAACCAGTTGAACATCACCCTCTTTCTCATGTGTCCACTGTTTATAAAGCCTAGGATTCTCTCTGTTGTATTAACTGAGCTGTCAACCAGTCCTGGGACTTCCACTAATTATTTCACAATATCTGCAGGACCCTCCGTCCCTGCAACCTCTTTCAAGTTGTACATTACATTGTCCTCCATCATCTTCCTGTCAAATATACCAACTGTCGTGGATCACAATGTGTATCCAAATGATTTTTTTTCAGATTCGGTTAAATATAATTAAGAGAAGACTCGACAACAGCAATTCACTTAAATATGAATGTTTATTAAGTAGTAATAATGATTGCAGCGGTAAGAATAAATGGAAAAGAAAATGGAAAAAGCTACAAGTCTCATGCCCTTCTGCCTGTCGGGGACCCCTCAATCAATGCCTGGTCCTGAGGTTTAGGTCCATTCCTGGCTTTGTTCATGATTCCGAGCCGAGGCGAAATCCAATGACTTGGAACAAAACCCTGTCTCTCTCTTATACAGTGTAACAAACAGCCAGCACAAAGAAAGCAGATACAGCAGACAAAACTACTGTCTCGTACAGAGAACACAGCTACAGAAGAAAAAAAGAAACAAGCTGCAGGTACCTTCCTCGGCATGTACGGGAATGTTCACAGGACTCGTCCAAGGTCATGCAGCTTGTTGAGTATCATCAATGATTTTAGCCCTTCACCCCATCCCATACAATGTATTTGGTCATGCAGCTGTCTAATACCGTCATTCACTTTTAGCCCTTCGGCCTATCCTGTACACCACCTTACTCAGCTCCACATGACATTTCAGCAGCTACTTCGTTGTTCAGGATTGTGTCCCATACGTAATCATTAACACATTTTGAGAACAGCAGGGGAGCCCCAACAAGGATCTCCAGGGAACTCCACTTGGGAAAGTTGCCATAGTCCTACTGGACCATGGGGCTGCTCTCTCGTTAGAGAGAGAGATGACTGACGTTGGTTTAACCTGAGGGTCATCACCCCTCAGGTGAGGGGAGAGGTTGAGAAGAATGATCACTGCAGCTGGTGATGGGAACTGAACCCACACTGTTGGCATCAGTGTGCATCACAACCAGCAGTCCAGCTAACTGACCTCCCACCCCAATACAAACCATCCCCCAGTTCAAAACCAAACAGATGTAACTGAGATCCTGGGTGGAGAGCAACTGATCTACCAGATCGAGCAATCAGCGATGGATCCACAAATAGATCCAGTGTGTGCGGGGGCAATGATAGATTGGAATGGCAGTGAGCAGGTCCAGAGGAGTGGGATTGTCAACGGATTCATGACATGTCAGGGCGGCATGGTGGCTCAGTGGTTAGCGCGGCTGCCTCACAGCGCCAGGGACCCGGGTTCAATTCCACCCTCGGGTGACTGTCTGTGTGGAGCTTGCACATTCTCCCCGTGTCTGCGTGGGTTTCCTCCGGGTGCTCCGGTTTCCTCCCACAGTCCAAAGATGTGCAGGCTAGGTGGATTGGCCATGCTAAATTGCCCCATAGTGTCTAGGGATGTACAGGCTGGATGGGTGCGCCATGGGGAGTGATAGGGTAAAGAGGAGGGGTAGGGTAAAGAGGAGGGGTAGGTCTGGGTGAGATGCTTGTCTGAGTGGGCTGAATGGTCTGTGTCTGCACTGTAGGGATTCTATGACATAAAGGATCAATAATAGATCCACTGGCTCCAAGGATCAACAGTAGTGATCAGGAGCTGCAGTGCTTTCTCCATCAGCTTTCCAAAGGTAATATGACTAGGGTGCATCTCCCATTGGAGATAATCTGAATTATTCATGACCCTGCCCCCCAGCAGGAACTGTTCATATCTGAACTCTTTCAAACATTAATAGGGACACATGAATGATGACACTGGTCTTATAAATCCTTCAAATGACAGGGCATCTGCATCCACTGACAAAGAGAAAGATTGATTGTAATGGAGGTTGGTGGTCAGATTTTGCAGTGAAAGGGAGATACTCGTTGTCTGGAATAAGACAAGCACATGAAGGTCCAAACCGGGATTATCTTTGACATGAAATATTAAAGAAGTATACATTTTAATACATTAACACTGGGAGGGATGTTTTCTTGAACCTGCTGGTAGTTACTGAGTGAAGGAGTTCCTGGGACAAAGGGGCAGGATAATCAATGGTCTTCAAAAATCATCCAACATGTTTTCCCAAGCCTCAACTGGTGACCCTCCCTGTAACGGCCTGTGGCCTTAATGATGCCTCTATTCTCCACCTCCAGTTCCTCGTCCACCTCCACCTCCTCCTCCCTCCACCTCCAGTTCCTCATCCACCTCCACCTCCTCCTCCCTCCTCCTCCCTCCACCTTTTCTCTCCCCCCTCCCCCCCGCCTCCTCCCCCTCCACTTCCTCCCTCCACTTCTCCTCCTCCATCTCCACTCCTCCTCCACCCTTTATCTCCTCCTTCTCCCTGCACCTCCTCTGACCTCCACATCCTCCTCCTCCATTTCCTCCCCATCCACCTCTCCTTCTTCTTCCACCTCTCTTCCTCCTACTCCCTCCTCCACCTCCAACTCCTCCTTGCTCCTCCTCCATCTCCACATCTCCCTCTTCTTCTCCTCCTCCACCTCCACTCCTCCCTCCAACTTCTCCTCACTTTCACCTCCCCCTCTTCCGTCCACCTCCTCCTCCACCTCCACCTCCACCTCCAATTTGAAACCTCCTGTGGCATTTTGGCAAATGTTTGGCAGTTTAACTCATAGAACACTCTCTCCCTATTTGGATTTTTTAAATTCACTCATGGGATGTGGATGTTGAAGGCTGGGCCAGCATTTATGGTCTGTCCCTAGTTGCCTTGAGAAGGTGGGGGTGAGCTGCCTTCTTGAACTGCTGCAGTCCTCCTGCTGTGGGTTGACCCACAATGCCCTTAGGAAGGGAATTCCAGGATTTTGACCCAGCGACAGTGAAGGAATGGCGATATATTTCCAAGTCAGGATGGTGAGTGGCTTGGAGGGGGACTTGGATGTGATGGTGTTCCCATGTACCTAACCCTTGTCCTTCTAGAGGTAAGTGGTCATGGGTTTGGAAGGTGCTGTCTGAGGATCTTTGGTGAATTTCTGCAGTGCATCTTGTAGAAAGTACACACTGCTGCTACTGAGTGTCAGTGGTGGAGGGAGTGGTGCCAATCAAGTGGGCTGCTTTGTCCTGGATGGGGTCAAACTTGTTGAGCATTTTTGGAGCTGCAAGTGGTTGTGCCTTGTAGATGGTGGACAAGCTTTGGGAGCCAGGAGGTGAGTTACTCGCTGCAGTATTCCCAGCTTCTGGCCTGCTCTTGTAGCCACTGTGTTAATGTGGTGAGTCCTGTTGAGTTTCTGATCAGTGATAACTCCCAGGATGTTGAAACTGAAGTTTTTTAGTGATGGTAACTCCATTGAATGTCAAGGAGTAGTGATTTCATTGTCTCTTTTTGGTGACAGGCATAGCCTGGCATTTGTGTGGTGCAAATGTTTCTAGCCACTTTTCTGCCCAAACTTGGATTTTGTCCAGGTCTAGTAACTTTTGAACACGGACTGCTTCAGTACCTGAGGAGTCACGAATGGTGCTGAACATTTTGCAACCATCGGCGAACATCCCCACTTCTGACCTTATCATGGAACGAAGGTCATTGATGAAGCAGCTGAAGATGGTTGGGCCAAGGACACTACCCTGAGGAACTCCTGCAGAGATGTCCTGGAGCTGAGACGACTGACCTCCAACAACCACAACCATCTTCCTATGTGTCAGGTATGACTCCAACCAGCGGAGAGTTTGCCCCCTGATTCCATGTGCCATACACACACCCAATAAGCCCTGTCTCCTTATTTTAAAGACTCACTCAGCAGGTATTATTTTTAATTATTTTTTCATAATTTTCTTCAAATAGATAGGGAATGTTCTAACCATGACAGCATTGGCTCAACTACTTTGCTGGTTCCTTGGTGTTATGCAACAGTGTGCTTCTTAAATCAACCAGCACTCATACTAACACTGTCAGAGTGTCGATATCTCTGGCCCTGTTCATTCTTTAAGTCCTTATTGAGAAAGAGGGAAAGTGGGCAGAGACAGAAGAGGAGGAGAGGGAAAGGGGAGAGGAGGAAGAGAAGCAGAAAAAAGAGGAACGGGGGAGAGAAAGAAAATGAGAGTGTAGGGGAGAAGGAGAGGAGAGGGAGAGGAAAGAGAGACAGAAAGAGTGAAGAGGACAGCTGGGTGGTGGAGACAAAGAGGGAGTGACTGCACATAAACAATCCAAGGGCCCTGGAGTGAGACACTGACACCAAGAGCGTGCTCTGCGGGCGAAGGGG